TTTATAGAACAAAAGCAGTATTTCGTCTAAACTCTAAAATGTGTGAGGATATTTTCTTTACACTCGGGGCATATGGAGCCAATGAGCCATCGTGTTGAATTAAAACTCCGTCACTCTCACTGTTGTTTCCATGTTATATCGATTTGTCAACTTTGGCAGTTCACTTTATGCTCTTTTTGAAAATTAAGTTACTCTATTCTTTATTTTCATCAATTCCATTTATGTTCTGTCACACTCAAATTTATAAAATATATAAATGTATAGTTTTGGATTTTCTCAAGAAATTAATAGACATTAAGTAAACCCTAGAAATAATTATTAATGTAGTTCACTAACCATTTTGACCGCTAATTGATGGAAGAGTGTTCTCTTTAGTAAGACGAATATTTCGATATATTACATGCTAAAAACTTGTAAGCATGTGAATAAGAAACTGATCCACTATATAAGTGGGAGCATTTGTGGGGAAAGGATGAATTTCATCTCTGATGACGACAGTCACTTAACAGTAAGTAAATTAAGCTTTAATTTCAGACTTGTTGAAAAGGATGGAACTTGTATCTGGTAGTTGCAGAGATTCTATGTTTAGCATAGTGATGATTATCTACATGCAATGGCAGGTACCAACGTTTTTTTTACTTTCATTGATGGTGTGATCGGCGTTGATGGACTGCCTTTGGGAAATTCGAAGGTGAACACGGAGGACTAATTAAGCGGACTCCTGGGTAACCTCCTACAGTCACCAGCCTCTCTCTCTCTAGACCAGACGCGGCTACGACCACACTGGTCACCTTTCTTGGACGGAACATGACATCTTCAACTTCTATACTAGTCAATAACCATATGGTGGGTGCTACCCAGGGTTTCCCATTGACGTTGCCCACAGGCTCCTTTGAAAAACCATTGAAGTTCAAGGGCGTGAACTTCAAGATGTGGCGTCAGAAGATGTTTTTGCTTACATTACTCGCTTTCCAAAATTTCTAGGGGATGAGTGCCCTATCGGGGGCAAAGATGTCGACAAAAATCCAGTTTGGGCAAAGGATGAATGGTCACATCCTTTTTAGATTATCTATGTCATAACTATGTCTTGAATGGTTCCGATGCCTAGTACTTTGTACGTGTACACCAAGGCAAAAACGTTAAAAGAACTTTGAGAGTCACTCACAAAAAGTATAAACCTGGAGATACTGATGCAAAGAAACTCGTCTTGAATAAAATTTTGACTTTACGATGGAGGATTCTATGTCTGATCAGATCTATAACTCACTTTTAATGAGTGCAACAATGAGGGCACGAGAGTGAATGGAGACTTTATATTGTACTCGCATAGTCGCATTGTACGTATGAATGCATACTTTAATACGTTCTCCCAAAAAATTCAACAAAAAACATAGTATTTCTTTCTTAAAAAAATGTTCTTGTTTTATTTTTAGCGAATCTCATAAAATACTTCTACCTACACTTATAATATTTAAAATTCAGCTCATTTCTATTTTATTTGTATAAAAGTTATTTCGGTAATATTTTAGACATTTGATGTGTGTTACAAATATTTCATGGGACACATAAAAAATTAAAAGATCCAAATATCTTTTCATGAGACGAAGGAGTACGAGTAATTAAAAGTAGTTCTGTTAAAAAAAACAGCGTAAAAGCATAAAAGCAAAGGAATTTGCCAAGTGGGATAATATGTAGTAGTGTAATACCATGTCAGCTTTCTTTATTTGTCCAATTGTCCGAGAAAGTTCTTTTTTTTAAGGATTGCAGGAGCAAATTGGTGCTAAAATTAGTTCAAGAAAAAAAAAGTGGTGCTAAAATTAAATTGCAAAATCATCCCCCATAAATTAGAAGACTTATAAACCAATATCGTGACTTAGCTTCATTGCGAAGGCAGACCTGAATTGCTTTCCAGTCATTGCATATATAGGTGAGATCTGTGAATTATTACCAGAAAACTAAAAGTATTTTAATCTATTTTTTGTCACATGTTTGTAATAAGAGTCATGTTGGGGTATACCAGTTGGTGTACCCTATTCCTACACTATTCGTTATTGTCATTCAATATTTATGATTTATCCACTCAGGGTCGGCCCCGAAAAATGAAAAAATAAAATTGGCCCGGTCCAAAATTTACATTTTGTACCCTATTTTATATTTTTAGAATACTTTTGCTTTAAAATTATTAACAAATTTAAAAATATGGTGCCCTAAATTTTAAGGGGCCTGTGCGATTAGCCACTTTGCACACCCTGCGGGCCACCCATGTATCCACTCTTTAATTCTTTTATTTACACTTATTATTGTGTTGGGATAGGATACTATTGTATAGCCTGAGTATGAAAATTGCATACTAGGATGTCACGTCAATCAATTGGACCGTCAAACAAGTCCCAAGTGGTCGGTCTTGGTCCGCTATGTTGTCCTTGTTCAAATTGGAGTTTTTTTAAAACACTTCTTACATGATGAATGTGCTATTCAATTAAATTTCAATTCTATTTAAGTTAAAGAGTAAATTCTCAAAATAGTCCTTTATAATATGGAGTTTTCCCAAATTAGTCCTCAATAAGTTTTAATTTAAAAAAATATTTTAAATTTCAAAACAAACACACATCTTTAATTAAAAAAACCATTTTGGGAAAGCACTTCATTATAAATGATTATTTTAAGAATTAATTTCTAAATTTAGCGTACAAAAAATACCCGTAATTAATCCTCATTTGAATAACATTATTTACGAAGGACCATCTTGGGAATAAATCTCAATTATAGAGGACCACATAGGTAATTAAAACTTATTGAGGACTGATTTGGGAAAACACCGTATTACAAAGGACTATTTTGAGAATAAATCTCAATTATAGAGGACCACGTAGGTAATTAAAACTTATTGAGGACTAATTTGGAAAACCCATCATTACAAAGGACTATTTTGGGAATTTACTCTAAGTTAAATGATCCATAGATGACCTACTGCATGTTTACATCTTTTTCTAGAAAGAATTGACAAAATTTATGTATTCCTTTTTTTAATAGAAAATGAAGTTTAGTTACTTAATTGAAAAATAATAGATACTCCCTTCGTCCTATAATGATCTTCCCGGTTCGCAAAACGAAGAAAAATCTCAAGTTTTTCCAATCTATTTTATTTAAATATTGGTATAGAAATAAAAAATAAAACATACATATTTAAAAACTACACCAAAAGTTCAACAAAATAAGTGGTGACAAGAATATTTTATTTTATCATATAGGCCATGAAAAAACACAAATAAATATAAATTCCCGTGAAGTTGGAATAGTGCTCTGGGAAGATCATTATAGGACGGAGGGAGTAATTCACAATTGTGTTGTATAGAAGAGAAAGATCAAAGTAGGATTAAAANTAATGATCTTCCCGGTTCGCAAAACGAAGAAAAATCTCAAGTTTTTCCAATCTATTTTATTTAAATATTGGTATAGAAATAAAAAATAAAACATACATATTTAAAAACTACACCAAAAGTTCAACAAAATAAGTGGTGACAAGAATATTTTATTTTATCATATAGGCCATGAAAAAACACAAATAAATATAAATTCCCGTGAAGTTGGAATAGTGCTCTGGGAAGATCATTATAGGACGGAGGGAGTAATTCACAATTGTGTTGTATAGAAGAGAAAGATCAAAGTAGGATTAAAACACTGAAAATATACCAAAATAGGATTTCCATGTTTTTATTCATTAAATAGGACTTAAAATGTATTTATATTACCAAACATGGTCATGTATATTACCAAAAAGTAAGTAATCTGCACATGTACAGTGTCACATTACCACTGTACAAAGTCTTATTTCAAAAAAAACATGAAAATTCTATTTTGGCACTTTTCTCTATGTTTTAGTCCTATTTAGACTGATTTTTATATTGCATATCAATAACAATTTAAGCAATATAATCCATATCAATCATGTCGTTTCTTTCAACAGGACAATATACTACTGAATATGTAAATGTAATGGAAGAAAGACCAAAGTAGGACTAAAACATTGAAAATATACCAAAATAGGACTTTCATGTTTTTATTCCCAATATCGGACTTAAAATGCATTTACATTATCAAACTTGGTCATGAACATTACCAAAAAGTATACTAATGTGCACATGTACAGTGTCACACTACCACAGTGCGAAGTCTCATTTCGGAAAAAATATAAAACTCCTATTTTGGTATTTTTCTCTATGTTTAAGTCTTATTTAGGGTGATTTCTATAAACAATTTTCATAATTTTAGCCAAACACTAGGAAAGGAAAAATGACTCATTTTCTATAAGTCCTTTTCTAGCTTTCTAAGTGAACCCTTAATTTAAAAGTCTATGCTTTTTTAGGAATTGCACGATTAGTAAATATGAGATCTTTGACAAAAAAAATGAAATGTAAAATTTCATAAATACATTTTATGTGGATTAAAAAATTAAACAGAATTACTCAATATTTTCTGGGGTCATTAGACCAGATCAAACTTCGGGTCGGGCCAATGTGTTACATAACTGAAATTTCTTTAGATCAAGCCCGTCCCCATCAACATTACAGTCCTATATCTCATGTCCAAACCCGGACCGGGCCTTATTACCTTTGGGCCCTCGTAAATTATTGCCCAACCTGGTTTGGACATTGATAAGCCTGAGCCCGTATTTTTTTAAGCGGGCCAAGCGAATACCCAAATTTATGACCGGGTCTAGGGGTCACATATTGATTACACAAACCGATTGGATCGGTTTTTTTTAAATGTATTTCTATTAAAATACTCCATAATATGCTAAAAATATAAGTATTTATGTAAAAATTATATGTCAATGTTACATTATGAGACTAGTCCTAGTGTGGTCTCAATATAGTCTTTTCACAAAATAGTCTTTCCAGGACTGTCTTCTCCTTCCCCCAATTTAGAGGACCAAATGAGACACTCAACCATACAAAAGTTGGATGAAACAGAATAGAATAGCTTCAAAAACTTATCTTAAAATAAATTTGTCTTTACTCTTTGCATGGCCAGAAGAAAAAATATAAATAAATGAATTCTATTACTAAAATGAAATTAAATGGGGAAAAAACTACTACCCTCACACCTCAAAAATAATGTACAACTTCAAAGGGGAATGGCATTCACTCATTGGGACTTTTCCTTGTTTTGAAGGAAGGTGATGAGGTTGGCTAGGGCAGTGTCTGCATCATCACTCTTCATAAGCTCTCCGGCAACTTCAGCCGGCGTCGCATTGACTCTCAAAAGCAGCCGCTCAATCTCCGGGTACAGAGCATGGTGGCCGTGGTGGTGGTCTATCTCAAGGTAGTTAGCGGCAAGGGTGAGGAAGCCGGAGAAAGTGCAGTAGGACATGTGAATGTGGACGTCCATGCGTCCAGGGCGGAGCAGTGCAGGGTCAAGACGATCCTTGTGGTTCGTGGTGAACACTACGATCCTCTCGTCCCCGCAGCTCGACCACAACCCGTCCATGAAGTTTAGCAGCCCGGAGAGCGTTATCTGTCACCCCACAAATCACAAGCTTTGAATTACAGATATACTCCCTCCGTTCCACAAAACCCTTCCCATTTTGTTTTTTTTTTGAATTCCCTAAAACACTTCCTCTTTCTATTAAAAAATCACTTTTACCCTTAATTTTTCATATCCTACATATCACATCATACTTTTCACTAATAACCAAACTATCACATCTTACTTTTACTCATCACATCATGGGCAAAATTGAAAAGTCAACCAAAATTACACTTTTCTCATTTTTGCCAAAAGTCAGAGAGGTTTAAAGGGACGGAGGGAGTAATTTAACTTCACAATGATGAATGACCTAGATAGGCTCAGAGGTCGCGAATTCAAATCTCAGTGAACAAATTATTCTACCGTTGCAAAGGCATTGAAGTGTGAGAAGTAGCGAAAAGCAAAGAAAAAGGACGCACCTTGTCATCCTCGGGGGATTGATTATTGGATTCGCGGCTCTGCAATCCGACATTGCAGTCAATGTCTTCAATCACGAGGATGGAGCGGTTTGCGGAACCGATCAACAACCTTCTCAGATCCGAATTGCACTGTACCTCACGGAGGTCGAGATCATAGACATCGAACTTGAGGTGATTGGCCATGGCTGCCACCAAGCTGGATTTCCCTGTACCGGGAGGGCCATACAGCAAGTACCCTCTCTTCCATGCCTTCCCCACTCTCGTGTAATAATCCCTCGTGCTTATGAACCTGTCCAAGTCCTCGATTATCTCCTTCTTTGCCCCCTCCGGCATAGCCATGGTTTTGAAGCTCGCCGGATGGTTCAGCACGACCGAGCTCCAGTAGTCCGTCCCGTTGTAATCCACCGTGTGCAGCCTCACCGAGCGCCTCTGCTCCTTCATCTCCTTCCACGTCTTCAGAACGTGCGGCAAGTAGACCTTCAGGACGGTGTCTCTGTGCTTCTTGTTGAATCTCAGCTCGAAATACCTGTGCTCTGTTCTGGCGGCGGCGGCGTTGCCTTTGCCGGAGGAGGGTATGTTGAGCTCCGTCGATTTGAGGACCCACTCCACCCTCACGCCGCCGTGGAAATCGACGACCTCTTGGCTCCGATCGACGGTCAAGATGAGTTCCTCGTCCTTCTCGGGTTTGACCACTTTGATCCTCCGCGTGGCAGGGGAAATCTTGGTCCCCAAGAAAAGGGCGGCCGCCTCGAACATCTGGTTCGAGGTCAGGCCGTCGGATTCTTCGATGACGATGGTGAGCTGCGAGGAGAAGCGGGTGAAGAGGGTGTGGAGGCGGGCGGAGATGTGGGAGCGAAGAGCGTCGGGGACGAGGTCGGTGGCTATGGTTCGGAGGAAGATGGCGGAGGCGACCAGAGATGTGGCGGCGGCCAGAACGGAGCCGGAGGAGAAGGAAAGGCTCGCCGCGGAGGGTTCTGGAAAGACAACCATCTTCTCCTGCGTTCTAAGGGACGATTGAATTGAGAATTGAAGAAGTACAAGGGTTTATGCACTTCCTTGGGATATTGGGATAGCTTGCCCCTCAAGAAAAAAAAGTAAATTTTAATTACACTGTTTTAAAAGATTGTTACAGTTTGATATTTTTGATCAAAAATTAATTTCATTTAATTACAAATTATAGAAAAAAGTATATTTAATTATACTGTAAATTTTGTAAAAATAAATTTATTTAAAAATATACTTTTGAAATATTAAATTTTTATAATATTTAATTATATTTTGCACATAAATATATTTTTTGCTTTTTACAAAGCTCATTACATATTATTATTTTATTTATTAAAGTATATAAAATAAGTATGTATCTGATGACTATAAAAAAAAAATAAAGTGAAAAATATGGTGCATTCTTTCCTATACAAGGGGATTTCACTTGGACAAGAAAATGTTCCATACTAATGGATTTGTGCCCATCACTATGGGGACTAATGTACGAGATATTGTAGCACTGACCAATGAGGTCCTATCGATTAGTATTACACTATTACATAGAAGAAATTTTTTGGAACGTCCAAGAAGGAAAACTGGATCAAGCTTCAAGAGGGTCAATAATAAGAAAACTTGATTTAAAGTGAAAAATAGATTTTAAATTTATTGAAGTGAATTTCATTTAACGAAATTCTGTTTATTTTTAAAAATGCATTTACCAAATTTTAAACCTTGTATGCAAACGAAAGACACATGTAGTAATAATGATCATGTACCTTGTTTATCCATATTTTGAAGCAAGACCATATTTTGAACCATCTTCCTCTGTAATTTACATGACTGTAGAGATTCAACAATAACAACTCATCCTATAAAATCCCATAAAGTGAGGTTTGAGGGATAGTGGTACACAGTCTTCACCCCTACATAGAATACATAGAGACTATTCACTAAAGTGCCCCCCCCCTCCCCCTCCCTCCCGGGTCAAGCCGTGACGATTAAAGGGTACGGAGGAAGAAGAAGAAGAGACAACAACAATGCAACCATTCAAAAAATTCCATTTCTGAACTTTTTAACTGAAATAGTGTGGAGGGCAATACACTTACAATGGTCACAAATTTATAACCTTGCTTAGGAGAGAAGGATACAATAAAATCACAGTATACCAACCACAGACAAGTATAGTAGTACCCTCCTATCGAGAAAGTACCTTTGGATTTGACGAAACACGGAAGAGCCCCAAATCCTACGAAAACTTGCTGTAGTACTCATGGCATCAGTTTCCATGTAGGCATGGGGTTGTTGTCAATTATGATACAAAGCGGGAAGAGTAAGAAATGGTTTAGATTATTACATGAAATAATATGGCTCCGAAAACTGCAATCCGCTACTAGAATTAAAGTCGCGTCTGATTGAGGGATTCCCTTGACGCGTGCTGTGCATTCACCATCTTTATGTAACTTTTCACAATCTTCTGGTCTAGCTCATAGTAGAATTCCATCTTGTTCAAATATTTCAGGTCCAGATCAATGAAAGATACCTACCAATTTGAAGCAATGTTGGTCATGGATATGCCAAAAGATACTATATCATAAGCGGGCTTAAGTCTAAAAGAAAAACATGATTAAGTGAAGATCCTAGTTACTTTCCAACATTATATTCGGCACGGATGAAGTGTGCTATGAATATGGCATGAAAAGAAACCCAAATGAAAAGCACACAAATAGACATTTTTCTATGTATTCGGGATACTACAAACACGTGTACGTATATTTACACGCACACAAATAGACATTCATAGATGACACCAAGTGCATATCGGTGTCAAAGTTGCATAAAGCAATGTGTTCGCATTCATTGTATAAATAAGCAAAACACATGCTAAACACTTAAATGTGTTAGAACAAAATCAATAGATTAAGGTCAACAATTTGCATAGCTTCTACCATCAAATATTAAGAATTAAAACAGAAAATACTTTCTTTTAACTATATAGCGAAAACGTTAGGATGACTTGAATATTTTGACAAACGCATAAAAATCCAGATATTCAAGTACTGAGGTCCAAATTGCAGGAGAGAAAAAGTCGCATACCTTGTAATTAAAATGTTGGTTTGTTGACTTTAAGGAGACAAGACTATAAGCAGACTTGCTATTCCCATCTTTTTGAGGTTTGAAGCTTATCATAATACCCAAATCCTTTGCAGTAGTAGCTATTAAATAGTCCCTCAAAATTTTCCCACTTTCCTCCGTTGAAAGAGAATGCAATGTGTCAAATCTTTTAGACATGCCACTACCTAATTCTCGACAAACCATGCAGGGCTGAGAAATAAAATTATAATATACATGAATCACACCCTCAATGTCTAAAATGTCAAGCTTCTGGACTTCAAGAAGTCGATTAAGTATCTCTGAACTTAAGAGAGCCTCGGAAATGAGCCCAAGAAAATATTTAGTACGCAATCCTTCCTCTGCCAAAATTATATTCTTTAATACATCTTCGAATTCTTGACTATCTTTAGCATTTGTAGCTTCTGCAACACCACCCAGGCCCCCAAATTTGAGAGAACCATTCAAAAATACTCGGAAGTTATTTTGTGGGGTCATAAAAAGATCCATCATTGCTTTGTCCAATCTGTCTTTCGACTCAGAAAACATATCCAGTGGATCATATCCGCTTATATATGATATCTGAAAAAAGGATGGTAAAGGACCCCAATTATGAGAAACACAATGAAGTTAAGAGCGGTACCGCATCATTNAAACACCAAGGAGACGCCTGTTTGCATGTGGCGTGTCCGGCAATTTTGTATAGAAGTGTGGAAGGTTAGACACAAATTCAACAAGTAATACCACTAACTAGCAAACTAAATATTCAGAAACAAATCACGAACACTCAAAATTCTTTAAAGTATTGCCACCATGTTTTTATTCCTAAAATAATGTGTACTACTCCCGTCGTCCCATAAACATTGTCCCATTGTGGATAAAGAAACCTGGCTGAAGTTATGCTAAAAATAGATTTACATGTTTATAATCTACTTCAAAAACTCTATAAAACAAAAGGGGACATGACTTAATCATTTAAAATGCAATCAGGTAAAGAAAGAAGAATTAGTTTGCCTGCGTCGGAAATTTTTTTTATTGGAAATCTCATCAATACTTGAGAGTCAATAACTGAACATTTCATAATCTAGGGTTTCAAATTCACAGAACATAGTTTATAAATAATGCAAGCTCAAAATTCTTAAACAAAGTATTCAATTCATCAAATTTACACATTTAAACCTGTGAAGTCCTTTGGCACATTGCACTTTCAAAAGATAATTCTGAAAAGTGAAACGCCTCCTTTCGCGATCTGTGGGTGATAAAGCGCCGAAATCGTTAGCCGCTTGCAATAACTCAAAGCGTGAGAATGGTGGCAGTCCCCTCGCCTGTGAGGTTTCAAAAAAAATAGAAAGTACACTCAATTGCATACATAATTTCATTTATGCACTTACAAATTTATTTACTCCTCCCTCCTAATAAAAATTCTTTGCAATTTTATGTTTGTGAACGAATTTTACAAATTCTGACTATATCTAGATTTATAATGTACATTTAAGAAAATTTAGATTTATTTCAATATATAGTTTTGATAAATCAAATTTTTTGTAATATTTATTTATTTGAAATTATATATATTAATAATCAAAGTATATTTATTTAAATTTTTGTTCTCTTTACTTATTTTATTTAATCATTAATTAAAATAATATAATTTTTTTTGTTATTTTTACTTATTTTGATGAACTTTTGTATGAAACTATGTACTCCGTATCATTATTTAAATAAATTTGATTGAAAATTAAATAAGTGAACCCTCATTATCCGTAAAGTGGTGATTACTTTTGGATGCAAGAAGTATAATATAGAATTTTCGGTCCCCAAAGAGCTTTGGGGTGAGCATATTTCATTGAAGATATTTTCAACTCAATAAATCTCATAATTGGTGTAGAATTAAAAAACAAAAATTACATATATAAAAAATAAAGAAATGTTATTCAAAAGGAAGAACTGCCAAAACATGATTAAACATGATCAATATATAATGCAAAAAACACTGTAAACTGCCTACAAAAAATGCCAAATTATGCCATTGCACGGTAGCAAAGGTCATATACTCCTATTTAACAGATACAAATATAGAAAAATCTATTTTGGCTTCAGTTTACTGTTTTAGTCCTATCTAAGTAGGTCTCATTTTACAAAATAAGTAAAGAATCAATTGTTTGGTTTGATCAAATGATCAATAAGAGTATTACATTGCAAGTATAAAATGCATCTTGCACTTGATAGGGTCAAGTTTTCATACTTTGCCACTTTGAAAGTGATTTATTATAGCATCATCGCTAATGGTAACGAAAATTACACTTTATGTATGTCACTAGAGAATGATATAACCATTGGTCACAAATTTTGTTTCAAACTTTATTGTTCACAAACTTTCAATTCATGACTAAAAAAACACGGTAAACACTAGCTACTCGTAAAAGTAAATCTAACTTTATTCGAGTAAAAAGATGGTAATATGTCGCAGACTTCTTTGTAGAAACTATTTTCATAGATAAATCAAAAAGCCCCTTCGAATCTACGTTCTTTCGCTGCGATTTAGGAAAATTTCATAATTTTGGTGTTGGAACTCATACAATTTGATAATAATGGATCTTATTGAATAATGAAAGTTAAATCCCTATATATAGAGATTACAAGAGAGAATCTAAATCCTAGTAGAATAAGAATTATAATAACAAACTAACAATACAATAAAAAAAATACGGAGTAATAGAATAAGGTAATTAATAATAATTTCTTATTCATATTTAGGAACGAACTTTTAGCCTCGGATGATAATCAATAATTCTCTTTCTTAGCCTCGAATGCTCCTATTATAAATTTAAAGGTGACGAAGCATTTGAATTCAAAATTGACGGATTATTTCGAGAAACCTTAACCCAAACATTTTAACACACTAACAATTCACAACTCACAAATTCATATCCATATAGATTTATGCTTATATGGACAAAGCACGATAAATTATCATCAAATTAATCAATAATTTTTAAAAAAAACATGGAGATTCGGTGAATCTGAAAATCTGGATAAATAAATAAAAAATACCTGGCTGGCAGCGGCTAAAAGCAGCTGACGGAGCGTCGGAGTGGTGGAGCAAGAACGGACGTCGGAGACACGGCGGCTTAACAATTTAACCGTTGCTAATATATGAGTGAGGAATACTCTGTAGCTGTGCGCATAAAAAAGGACTCCTGGGGAAAAAATTCTAGTCCCCCATTATCCGGGTATCAAGCATATATTCTACAGTCTACACATCTTTTGGAAATTATTTGAATCACTATTACTCCCTCCTAGAGCTTGCAAATCAATCGGTCAGGTCGAGTTTGAGTTTGATCAATTTAGGTTCGAGTCAATTTCGATATGTGTTGACAATTGTATGTTCATGATCCTGAGTCATGAGATTCAGATCGACGAATGGGTAATGAATTTGATTTTTAAAATTTTTAAATTCATATTAACATTTGCATTTTACATTAAATAAATTTAAAATATAAAAAATATATATTAAATCTATTAGATTATTTTATATTAAATTCTGAAGTATATTTAAATCAATATAAAAATTTAAAAAGTAATTTTTGAAAAAAAGTAAGATAAGTATGCAATATCATTAAACTTTTGTCCGGAAATATAAATTTAAGCACTAAAACGAGTTGTAAGAAAAAAATAATTATAAATTTATTTTTATAACTTTAAATTTCGTATGAAGTATATAAATTTGAAAAACTCTTACACTAGGTCAGGTCGGATTCGGGTTTGACCCATTTTTAGCGGTCATTTTGGGTTCAGTCAAATTCGGGTTCGATCATCAAAATCTCTGTTCAAAACCTAATATTTTCGGATCGAGTTTTAGGTCAGAAATGGGTCTGGCCATTTTTTGTCATGTATACATCCTCCGTCCCAATTTAAATCGCCTTTTTTATTTATGATATTTGACTGAAGTTATTTTCTAATCATTTCATATAAAAAATAGTGTAAGACTAAAAAAAAATTACATATTTAAAGACTATGCCAAAAGATATACAAAACTAGTGCTGAAATTACTATATTAGATTATCAAATGACTAACGAAAATAGAATAAGAAAGTAAATAAATTTAGATCCTATAAACAGTAAACAGGCGATTTAATTTGGATAGAGAGAGTACTTTTTAAGCAATCTTTCAAAAATAATACTGACTTTGTCCCTGAAAACTCTTATTGTTTTGACTTTTTTTGGTCAAACATTGCGCTCTTTGACTACAAATTATTTTGCATACATTAATTCGTTCAGGACACCTACAACGCTTCATTTGTAAAAAAGGATGTTTCAAACGAATTAATGTAAGAAACTGTTATATAAGTAACTATTGTCATTTTAGATGTCATATATATATATATATATATATATATATATATATATATATATATATATATATATATATATATATATATATATATATATATATATATGGCCCTTGGTCTCAACTCCCTCCCCTCCCTTCAACTCTAATGCTACCTTCGTCTTAATTTATATTGTTTGTTTTGCTTTACAATGTTTGACTGAAACTACCATTTTATTATATGAAAAATGGTGTAGAATTTACGTATTAAATAACTACATTAAAAGTTCTACAAAACTAGTGGTGACATGAGAATTTTATTTTATCAAATGACTACTAAAAAAAGAGAAGAAAGTAAAAATTTGACCATGTAAGTAATAAACAAATAATTTAATTTGAGATAGATGGAGTGTAAAAAACACTTATGATATATTTACATATTTATTTCATTTGTGCCTGATTCTCATCTCTCCATTTTTTTATTTAAAACGAAATATCACTATGATAAAGAAATGGATTTTAAAAATATATAATGAAAGATCACCACTCTAATAAATACTATTGATGCCTACCAAGCACACAATTTCTAGGGACTTCTAAATTTCTTATGTGCCAACTTTTCTCCTTATCCACATTGTATATATGCAAACAAACAATGGCTTACTATATTGCAAAGTTGTGACTTATCATAAATGCACGGATCATACCATTATTTGACAAATCATTGATAAGCTTATATTGTTTTTAATCTTATTTTTTTTAAATATTCAACTTTAATAGGAGTAAAACATTGAGAGAATATTATAATACGAATATTACTGGTATATTTTTATCCTTAAAGTAAGAGTTCGCACCGTGGTAATGTATGTGCACCGTATATAGACATTTCACAATACTTTTTGGTAATGTATATGTCATAATTGTCACTGTAAATGCATTTTAACTTCTATTTTGAAATTAAGAATATGAAACTCTTATTTTAGTATATCTTCAATATTTTATTCTTACTTTAATTTTTTCCTTTAATTATTTATATATGTAAGGCATGGACTAAATATTAAAAAAATAATGAACTTTATCCCGATGGCCTCTCAGAACCGATGCTAGATTGAGATTAATGATGCATACCAGTCTCTTTTTTTTCTTCTCTGATCTTTTTCACGTTTTTTAATATACTAGTAGAAAATTTGTATTCTATTTCTTCTTTTTTAAGCAGTCTTCTTTAATTTATCTTCTAATTAAACTTCAAGCATACCTTTTCTTAATGAGTGATGCTAGAGTCACAAACAATTGGGATACAAACCACACAAACTTGCTATTTGTGTATTTAAAATTTTATTTTTAAGTACTTCAAATCATTTTATCGACTTGAAAAAATGCACAAATGGTAAGTTTGTGTAGTTTGTGTCCAAATTGTTTGTGACTCTAGCATTATTCTTTCTTAATTTCTTAATCAGTAGGCTAATCAAAACGGAAGTCGAGAATGAAAAGATGGTAAAAGAAGTCAAAGATTTGAGTGGTTAAAAGTAGCAATTCGTAATCTTTTGCAGAATAAAAATTTTTAAGAACTAATATCAACTCTGCTAACTCAAATGGAGTTGTGTTGTTAATTTCTTATAACTTATCTACATATAAAATAAAGTTCTTTATTCTTTGGTGTTTTGTTTGTTTCTTTTTTGTCAGCCATCATATTAATTATGGACTTTATCATCTTACTTTCGTATTTGTCTAATAAATTTTGATCCTTAATTAAATAAAATTGATATCTTATTTTAATTCAAAATTAATTTTATTTTATAAAATATTTTCAACATATTATTTTATCAAATTAATATACTACATAAATTTTATTTAATCATATATTAAAGGTTGAACGTCAAAACTGCACAAATATTCAGAGACAGAGTCACATAGGTAGTATTGAATATTAAATACTACCTCCGTTCCAAAGGAACTTGTCAATTTTTTACTTTTTTCAGTTAACTGTTTTCAACATTTGACCTATACTTAAGTAAAATATATATTGTATATTATTTAGATAAAATAATATTTTAAAAATATTTTATATAATGAATATAATAAAATAAATTTTGTATCAATATCTAATATCATTTTTATTTAATTTGAAGTTAAAGTTTACTAATTTTTACTAAAAAAGTCAAAAGTAGACAAAAATACTCAAGAACGAAGAGAGTAATGGAATAATTATATTACTTAAAAAATAAAGGAGTATATGACAGAGTATATATATAAGGAAGTACAAACTAAATACGGAGTACTACAAAAAAGAGTAAATTCCATAATTGGCCCTTTATATAGGGAGGTTTTCCTGTTTAATCCTCTATTATCAAATATTATTCCAGTGGTCCTTCTTCTATGGGTATCTTTTTACAAATAGTTCTTTTTTTGATCTTCTATCATGTTGGTATTAATTTGAGAGCTAAAAGTGTAATTTCACAATAATAATATATTTTTTTTGTCATACACCATTCCAAAGGCTATTCTTTTTGCGTCGTTTGTGAACACTCGCTTTCTACTACAACCATAGTCTAAAAATGTAGTCTTTCGTCGGAATCCTAACCCACAATCATAGTCATTATTTTTATGTTATCCGCTTAACCAATATCAGAACACGTCACTTGACATAATATTGATATCAAATTATACTTTTAGCCTTTAAATTAACACCAACATGGCAGAAGATAAAAAAAGGACCATTTCTGGAAAGGCACCCTTAAAAAAGGACTACGAGGATAATATTTGATAATAAAGGACTAAATATGGAAACCCCCTTGTTATAAAGGACCAATTATAAAAATTACTCTACAAAAAATGGCAAAATTAACTTTTGCAAGTTTTTTATCTACTTTCCAACATAGTACTCCATATTATAGACACAATTATACATAACAACCCAATATTTAACTTTCAGCACCAGTTTCGCAAGCTTAACCAAATACTATATAATCATATCTTCAATGTCGTCGTTGTCTGCTAAGTCTAGACAAGTCACTCTAGAAGCTTTTACGCAACAATAATTATTTAAAAGTCGTAGAATTTCACTCCTAATAAATTATTGCTTAAATATTGACACCTCTTATTTCGAAGAATTTTTCATGTAGTTTTTTGATATGTAATTTTTATTTTTTATTTCTTTACCAATATGTAAATAAAATGAATTGAAAAAACTTGATATTTTGCCTTGGTAATAGAAATGTGATAAATAATTTGGGACGGAGGAGGTATAATAATGAGAAGAAAATATTTCAAAGAATTTGGAGTTATACTTGATACACTCCAAGAAATAGACAAAAAATTTCTCATAGACACACACAAGAACAAGTTGTTTGCAAAGTTAATTTGGACATCTCAATTTCAACTTTGGTCTAAATCTTGGGAGTTGAAATTTGTGGCCCTATAGACCATAGGCGGCCTATGTGTTTCTAGCAACAAAGAAACTAAAGAAGAAAACAGAATATCCAAATCAGATCGGTCACTATGCCTCCGTGTCATTACTTGTGTAATTGTGTTGTCCAATATGTCAAAGTCCATTTTGACCCACTACAACACAAAGATAGTAAAAACTAAAATATACTCCGTATTATAGAGTAAAATGTTTAGTATTATAGAGTAAAATGTTTAATCATTTTGGTTCCCATGATTCAATGTTATGAGATGATTCGAGATTCATACGATATTTCATTCGAAAAATTAATGGTTCCTACCCTCATTCCGGTCTGTTTGAACATATTCGTACTCCCATCAATTACATGTCACAAGATTTAGTTGACATTGGAATAAAAATCATGTATCATATATTCAAATACATTTTCTGTAGAAAATGTCACTCCCATTGCAATTCAAACATGTAATTTTGATACTGTAGAAAACAAATCTTGTTGGAGAAGATTTGAATGCGGTCACTAGAATGAGGAGCAATTTCGTTAATTACAATTTGTAAATGCTTTAACAATATTGAGAAAATAAACCTCTAATTCAGCCATATTCACGTTTTCTAAGGTTCGCCTAGGACCTTCTCAATTTTGAACTGCTCTTTATTTTGCCGGATGAATTTCTCGATTCTGCGCCGGAACTCCTCGCTGTTGAGATCTTCTACGGTGTCAACCGCCGACATTGCTCGCGCTTCGCCGGAATTGGTGACTTCTCGGCGCACCTCCGTCACCGACCGCCGGAGTTCTCTCGGGTCCTTCAACGCGATAGCTTGCTTCAGATTCTCGGACTGAGTCCTCCGGAACTTCTCGATTCGCTTCGCGGCCGTCTTCATCGCTGTTGAAATCTCAGAACATTGCTGGTCCTGAACCGCGATCTCCGAGCAGACGATCTGCTTTTCCTCATCTCCGACGGCCTCCGGATGCGCCGATGCTTCCGAGGAGGGGATCGGCGGTTGAGACTCACCGCGACTGATGATTTCCTCGCAGTCGTCTCCGCGGAGATCGAAGACGACGGAGTTGCAACCGACGTCTGTCTGGCGGCAGAGAAGGAAGAGGGAAACTATAATGGCGTTTCCGATGACGAACACCACGTGCGGATTGCAGGCGTAAGTCCACAACTCAACCAAACAGTCGCCGGAGAATTTCACAACGCCAGGAACTCGAGTACAGGACCAGGAAATCAACATCAGAGCGACGATCAGTTCGAGATACTGCACCGTCTTCGTCATCCTCCGGAACCGGTTGAATCTCGCAATCGCATCTGCCTTCTCGAATTTGACGGCGTCAAACACTTCCAATTCCATTTCTCCTCGATCGATTCACCTGGAAATGCAGGAATCCAATCACTAAACCTAACCGTCCCAATACAAATTCAAAAAAAAAAACAGACAATTTTGAATTCCACGTCAACGAGCGATCAAATCAGAAAATTTTCTGGAACCGGAGGAGGATTCAACAGATTATTCAGAAGGAGAGGAAAACAATCCGGAGGAATTTTCCCGGGAACATCAAAGAGGAAGAAACTCGTCTGCAAGGAATTGCATAATGATAATGATACAGAGAGGGAGGAGTTCATATGCATAGAAAACCGAACACGCAGTAATTAATACACCGCCGGAAACACGCAGTGCGTGAGGGTTGAGAAGAGAGATTTTGACAGTTTCTCTTCCCTCCGAATAGTTCTGAGAGATTTGGATTTCTTCAGACGGATGAAAATGGAGTTCGCAGGGGTGACACTTTATATAGGCGTGGGATACTGTTACAATTCACGGAGTAATTTTTACGCATTTTAAATTTTTTGGATTATTCATTGGAGTTTTGGTCTGTAAAGTAAACCAGTTCCACTTTATTGTTGCTGCCCGTGTGACCGAGTCCCATCTAGTCATAGTGAATATGTGTTCATTTTCTATTTTTTGGTAGTTAAAACTAGAAAATGTTTAATCATTAATTAATTAAATTTAATATTAGATATTGGTATAATAATATTTTATTGGATTAATCTCCTAAAGTTTTATTTTATCTAATTAATAAAATATGTAGTTTTTATTAATTATAGATCAAAGATGACCGAATCAAAACAATTTTGCTGTCCGTGTGACCGAGTCTCATCGTAGTCACAGACTCATTGTGAAATACTCCCTCCGTCCCCCATAGATCTTCTCAATAACCCTTTTTCTTTGTCCACAATAGATCTTCTCATTTCATTTTTTAACAATTAAAATACCACAACTAACCCCACTTACTTTATTTATTACACCTCACCCACCTCATTTAAACTCCACCCTTTTTTCATTAAAGGTATTATGGTAAACTTTCACCTTTTTTCAACTCTCCTTAAAAACAACCAAAAGTCAAAATGAGAACATCTTAGAGGGATGGAGGGAGTACTACTTTCCTTTGAGAATACTTGTTCGTTTTCTTACTTTTTAAAGTCAAATTTAATAAATTTTAGTCATTAATTAAATAAAATTACTACTCCGTATTATAAATTGATACAAAAATACTTTATTGCATTTATCTCGTAAAATGTTTTTTTATCTAATTACTATTGTTGGTTAGTATAAGGCTGAGATATGTGAATCTTCTAACATTATGTATTGTTTAAAAAATGATGAAATATAAAATGGCTTCAATCTTTCGTCTCTGGTGCACTTGGTGAAGTTTGGAGAATGAACAAGGATCGAAACCTGGCAGCGACTGTTGTGGGGGCGACCACCTCTGAAAAATAGGGGGAATTTCTGGTGCGCAATAGGATATGGTCTAACTAAATGTTGTGCTTGGGTCACCGTAATTTACCTCCTCTCACATTCCCGTCAGGTCGGGGTGAGAGGTGCCCGGGGTGAGCGATTTCGATCACCTTTTGGAGAAAAAAGAAAACGGGGAAACTGCAGAAGCGTGAAATTAATTACGTGGGCGCATGGGGGAGTCGTGATTTGTGGTTGAAAAGAGAAAGAAGAGAGGGCAGGGCAGGGGAAGAAAGTTTCAATGACAGATTCGATGATGACTAATCGGATTACAGATGTGATGTTCTCTCCATTCAAATTACTCCATTTTTAGCAGGGTCCGTTCCATTGGTGGTCCGGAGGGCGTCCAAAATGATCAAATACACAGGGTCCCTAAAATTTTTGAGCTTCATAATTTTAAGTTTTTAAATAATTTTAAAGTAAGAGTATTCTAGAAAAATAAAATAGGTCCCAAAATATAAATTTTGGACTGGGCCAATTTTATTTTTTCAATTTTCAGGACCGCCGTTCTGATGATTCAATCGTCTTAAGCAATGCTCGGAATATGAAAAATATTTCCTTTGTTTTAAAAAGATTACAAAAATTCACTATTTAAAGTTCACAAAAACTTTTGTTGTATTTGCGTTTTCATTGATTATTTGATAAAATAAATATTCTTGTCAATTCTGTTTTGTAGCACTTTTGACGTAACTTTTAAGCATGTAAGTTTTATTTTTTTGTTTCTATATCAATCTTTAAATAAAAATAATAAAAAACTCGACAATTTGCTTCGTTTGGCATAAACTTGCAATCTTTTTGGAATGGAGAGACACATGAAGTAGTTTTTTATTCTAACAAGTTACATTATACTTCTCTCTTCCCAAAATTTTTGCCACATTTCACAAAACGAAGCAAAATATCAAGTTTTTTAAATTTATTTTATTTAAATATTGGTATAAACATAGAAAATAAAATTTACATATTTAAAAACTACATGAAAATTTTTTCAAAATAAGAGGTGTCAAAAATATTTTATCTTATCAAATAATCCATGAAGATGTATAAATAAATAAAAGTTCTCACGATCGTTAAAAAAGAAATATGACATACCTTTTGGGACGTGATACAATTTGATAATAACTTGTCTTATTGAATATTGAGAGATATGGCCCTATATATAGGGAATACAAGAGTAATCAAAGTACAAGTAGGAAAGGAAAGAATAATTCTAGTAGGAAAGGAAAGAAGTATCCTAATTTAATTATATTTCCTAATATCCCCCCGCAAGCTGATCAACGGAGACGAGGGGCAGCTTGGAACATAAGTACTCAAAAGGAACTGGCGGAAGCGGTTTGGTAAGAATGTCTGCTAGCTGCTCTGAGGAGGAAACATGATGTGGAGTCATAGTGCCTGCCATAACCTCATCTCGTACAAAGTGACAGTCTGTGCCCACACGCTTCATGCGATCATGAAGAACCGGATTTTTGGTGACACAGATAGTCGACTCATTGTCACAGTATAACTTCGGTTTGGACGGAGGAATACCCAGCGCATCAGTGATATATCGAAGCCACATAGCTTCTGCAACCCCTGCAGCCATAGCTCGATATTCAGCTTCAGTGGATGATCTAGAAACATGAGTCTGCTTTTTCGTGCACCAAGAGATGATATTAGGACCGAGTAGGAGTATGTAGCCTGTGGTAGACTTGCGATCATCTTTATCATTGGCCCAGTCAGAGTCAGAGTAGACAAATAGGTCGAATCCCCCCTTGCGAAAAAGAAGACCATGATTCAAAGTGCCTTTGAGATAGCGCAGAACGCGTTGCAAGGCATGATAGTCCTGCTCAGTGGGGTTGTGCATAGTCTGAGACACTCGATTAACAGCATACTGAATGTCTGGACGAGTGACAGCCAAGTAATGTAAACCGCCAACAATGCTCCGAAAATGAGAAATATCCTTGAAAGG